GGCTTCTCATTGCAGTGGCTTCCCGTGTTGGCAAGCACAGGCTCTAGGGCATGTAGGCTCAGTAGTTGTGGTGCATGGGCTTAGTTGTCCCACGGGATGTGGAATCTTCCAGAACAGGGATGAAACCCGTGTCCCCTGGATTGGCAAGCAGATTCTTAACCACCGAACCACCAGGGATGCCCCCCTCAGTGGATTCTAAATCATTCGTGGTGCTGAATCGTGAAACTAGAATTTATAAGAAGGAGAAAAAAAAAAAAACAAGAGAGAAGAGAGTGTTTAGTTTGCAAAATGAAGAAAGAGTGATGCTGGGGAAAATTGGGGGATGTAGTTGTCTGAGTTTTGTCCTCAAAGTACAGTCTGAGAGATCTGAATTTGATGACCGACAGGTGGTACTTCTTTGACTCCAATAACCCTTGCAGAATCGTAGCAGGCTCTACACACCAGTAAAAATCTCAGTAAAACCCCTGGAAGAACAGCTATGACAAACTTAGCATATTAAAAAACACAGACATCATTTTGCTAACAAAGGTCCATATTGTCAAAGCTATGGTTTTTCCAGTAGCATATACAGATGTGAGAGTTGGACCATAAACAAAGCCAAGTGCCAAAGAATTTATGCTTTTGAATTGTGGTGCTGGAGAAGACTCTTGAGAGTCCCTTAGACTGCAAGGAAATCAAACCAGTCAATCCTAAAGGAAATCAACCCTGAATATTCATTGGAAGGACTGAGGCTGAAGCTGAAGCTCCAATACTATGGCCACCTCACGCGAAGAGTTGACTCATTGAAAAAGACCCTGATGCTGGGAAAGATTGAGGGCAGAAGGGGTGACAGAGGATGAGATGACTGGATGGCATCACTGACTCAATGGACATGAGTTTGAGCAAACTCTGGGAGATGGTGAAAGACAAGGAAGCCTGGTGTGCTGCAGTGCGTGGGGTCATAAAGAGTCGAGGGACTGAACAATGATGACAACACCGAAGCCCCTGGGATGCCACCCCATGGTGGATGGTTCCCTGTTTCAGAGGCAGCCAGTCACAAATTCTTACCTCCTTTGGGCACTGGGGCTTGACCAACCCGTTGGGGAAGCAATGTCCCAGGGTTTCTTTCTGTCCAGTCTGAGCCTAATAGATGCCTGATATCCCTGCCCTGAGAGTCCCTGTTGATCCAAGCCTCCAGTTCAGTTCAGTTCAGTCGCTCAGTCATGTCCGACTCCTTGCGACCCCATGGACTGCAGCACACCAGACTTCCGTGTGCATAACCAACTCCCAGAGCTTACTCAAACTCATGTCCATCGAGTTGATGATGTCATCCAACCGTCTCATCCTCTGTCATCCCCCTTCTTCTCCTGCCTTCAATCTTTCCCAGCATCAGGGTCTTTTCCAATGAGTCAGTTCTTCACATCAGGTGGCCAAAGTACTGGAGTTTCAGCTTCAGCATCATTCTTCCAATGAATATTCAGGACTGATTTCCTTTAGGATGGACTGGTTTGATCTCCTTGCAGTCCAAGGGACTCTCAAGAGTCTTCTCCAACACCACAGTTCAAAAGCACAATTCTTTGGCACTCAGTTTTCTTTATAGTCCAATTCTCACATCCATACATGACTACTGGAAAAACCATAGCTTTGACTAGACGGACCTTTGTTGGTAAAGTAATGTCTCTTCTTTTTAATATGCTGTCTAGGTTGGTCATAACTTTTCTTCCAAGGAGCAAGCGTCTTTTAATTTCATGGCTGAAGTCACCATCTGCAGTGATTTTGGAGCCCAAAAAAATAAAGTCTGTCACTGTTTCCATTGTTTCCCCATCTATTTGCCATGAAGTGATAGGTCCAAATGCCATGATCTTAGTTTTCTGAATGTTGAGTTTTAAGCCAACTTTTTCACTCTCCTCTTTCACTTTCATCAAGAGGCTCTTTAGTTCTTCTTCACTTTCTGCCCTAAGTGTAGTGTCATCTGCATATCTGAGGTCATTGCTATTTTTCCCGGCAATCTTGATTCCAGTTTGTACTTCATCCAGCTTGGCATTTCTCATGATGTACTCTGCATATAAGTTAAATAAGCAGGGTGATAATATACAGCCTTGATGTACTCCTTTTTCCCAATTTGGAACCAGTCTGTTGTTCCATGTCCAGTTCTAACTGTCTCTTCTTGACCTGCATACAGATTTCTCAGGAGGCAGGTCAGGTGGTCAGCCTTCAGAATCATTGACATGATTCCTATTAACATGGAAGAGGAGATGATAAGGGTCACTAGATGGCGCCAAGTTGCATTTGGCCCTATGGGGCGTGTAGCCAACCCCATCATCACTCTAGGAATAATGTGACACTCTCCAACCCCCAAATCACAGGTATCACATTGTGGCAGGATTTTTACTGTAAATCACAGCAAATGATATGATACTGTGTTTGGCTGTATTATCCTGTTTTGATTATCCATGCTGAAAGGAAACTGGGGCTAGCTGACAAGCAATCAAAAGATTATTCAGAATATCAGGCATCTGATGTTGGAAGGTGGCATTTCATTTTGTTGATGTATCAGTGAGCCGAATGTGTGGAGAGCCCATTTTGAACAAAATAATGAGTTCACACTGTAGAAGTCCCAAGATACTCTAGTTTCCTAAATCAGATGGTGACTCAGGCGGTAAAAAATCCACCTGCAATGCAGGAGACACTGGTTCGATCCCCGGGTCTGGAAGATCCCCTGGAGAAGGAAATGGCAACCCACCCCAGTATTCTTGCCTGGAGAATCTCATGAACAGAGGAACCTGGCAAGTTAATAGTCCACGGGGTCTCAAAGAGTCAGACACAACTGAGTAACACACACGCCCTAATGATGGCCACTCCCTGTCCCACCCACTGTGGTCTGCAGATGAATAAGTGACACTGAGCGTTGTCCCCTCCAAACTTCCTGCGAGTCGGAAGGTAGCTCCCTTGTGGTTACAGTGCAGGAAACTCAGTCGAGTAAGGGGAGCCATCAACCATGCACCTGTCTGCATCCCTTGGTTTCTCTGTGCTCGCGGGGAACCTGAGCCCAGCCTAGCCCTGCTCCAGCTCTGCCTCCACTGGCCACCGTGAGCCTCTGCTGGCCCTGCTATCTCTCAGGCATCTTAGCTAAAAACTGCCGAGGATGGAGTGCAGACTGCTGAGCTGTGTTCAAATGTAAAGATATGTGAGTCACGCAGAGCTGGGATGGAAGGTTCTCCCGGGGGAGCCTCTGCCAGCCCCAGGTAACTAATCAGTGGCCACATGTCTGTTATTCTCATTGCCCCCGCTCTCAGAGCACACGTGATACTGAACTGTGACATCTGTGCTTTCCTCTTCCTTCAACTCTCAGACAACCCCTAGGAGGTAGTCAAGCATCTCTGTCCCTGTCTTTTATGGGTTAGGAAATTACGCCAAATCTCAGGGCAGCAGGACAGAGAAAATCAATCTTCCTGTTCACTGTTCATCACAGGACATTTTTTTTAGTGACCTCAAGAGACACCCTGAATATTGAAGCAAGTATTTCATTCAACTAGATGGCCCAAGTGGCAGCTAGAACCATGGGTAACTAGCTGGCATTTGCTGTGAGTGTTAACGACAGTCCCAAAGGGAAAGGCTGGGGGTGGGGCTGGGGATGAGGTGGGGGAGAAAGCGATGGAAACACAGTAGTCTGAACCATTTTTAAGGGGTCTATGGAAAGCTGTTTAAGGACTCGTTCTTTACCAAGGGGCTAGTTCCCACTTCCAAACTTCCTTCATTTCTGTGTTTTCCTCCATCATGCTCCATACATGCAAAGCTGAGAACAGTGTATCCAGCTTCCTCAAGACCAAGGGGTCACCCTCAGATGCTTGCAGGGAAGGACTGGCGGCTGCACAGACTCAGGCACCCGTGCTGATCACACCCACTGAGGGACAGCGCTTCAGGGAGTGCGCTCCTATAGGCTGCCGGAGGGCTGATCTCCCACTAAGTGAAAGTGAGATTTAAGTCGCTCAGTCATGTCCAACTCTTTGCGACCCCATGTACTATAGCCTACGGGCTCCTCCATCCATGGATTGTCCAGGCAGGACTACTACGGTGGGTTGCCATTTCCTTCTCCAGGGAATCTTCCTGACCTAGGGATCGAGCCCGAGTCTCCTGCATCTCAGGCAGACACTTTACCACTATGGAAGCCTGATCTCCCACTAGCGGGTGCACTTTTACAATATTTTACATATTTTCTAATAGGAGATGGATGTGCAGCATCATCCCTCTCAGAAACACCACCACAACTCAGAACAAAAGTTTATATAGTGAGCACATACCCAGAAAAGGGAAGGAAGGAAAGGAGGAGGGAGGGAGGGAAGACAAAGGAAAAGAAAGGCAGGAAGAAAGGGAGGAGGAACTGAGTGCAGCTGAACACTAGTTGCAGGAGGTTATGACAGTGTGCTCAGCTCACCCCCTCCCCAGCCCTCTCTCCTTTCCCGTCCAAAACCCCCTCCACCAGCACTTTGCCCTGTTCTCAGGGTTAGAACACACAGGCTTACAACCTCTTTGCTTTCTTCTTTTTTCCAATGTTCTTTTTTTTTTTTTTCCAATGTTCTTTATGAACCACCAGAATCTTCTCCATGAGCTACTTTGTTCAGCGTTAGCTGCGGTTAATATTTTCCCGAGAAGACAGACTGCCCCTGGCCTCATCCGTGTTACTCATTATTTCTCAGGGTTCCCTGTTGCCTGGGAAGATTTCTACAGATGGCCAGTCCTGTCTGTTTTATGTCGGTTCATATTAATCTCCATTTCAGAAACTTCCATCTCAGAGATCGGTGTTTTTCAGTCTCTTTCTCCTTCAGTCTTGCGGGGGGTGTCACCTTGGAGGAGGCCCACATCTGCCCCCTAAGCAGGGACCTTAGTCTATCGACAGACCTGCTTTCACGTTCAATGTCTTGATGTGTTTCGTGGGCCCTGATATCCAATGGGTGTCAGTTACAGTATCAGCAGTTAAAACCCATGCAGAAATCAGTGTCTTTGTTTTCGCTGTCTTCCAGTGTCATCTTGCATTACAACATATAAGAAGACACCACCTCCAGTACCACCCAGAACTACCACGAAACCTTTCATTTCTATCACAGCCCAGAGTAGCACAGAGTCAGCCCAGGACGCCTACATGGACGGACAGGGCCAGCGAGGAGATATTATCAGCCAGTCTGGACTGAGCAACTCCACGGAGAGCCTGGACAGTATGAAGGCTCTGACAGCCGCCATCGAAGCCGCCAATGCCCAGATCCATGGCCCTGCGAGTCAACACATGGGCAACAACGCTGCCACCGTCACCACCACCACAGCCTTGGCCACCGTCACTGCAGAAGACAGGAAGAAGGACCACTTCAAGAAAAACCGATGCCTGTCCATTGGGATCCAGGTAACAGCCTCCCTTTCTTAAAAAAAATTAATTAATTAGTTATATTTGGGGGAGCTTCCCTGGTGGCTCAGCTGGTAAAAAATCTGCCTGCAATGCGGGAGACTTGGGTTCGATCCCTGGGTTGGGAAGATCCCCTGGGGAAGGGAACAGCTATCCACTCCAGTATTCTGGCCTGGAGAACTCCATGGACTGTAATAGTCCATGGGGTTGCGAAGAGTCGGGCACGACTTAGCAAGTTATTTTTGGCTGCCCTGGTCTTTGTTGCTGCGCACAGGCTTTCTCTAGCTGCAGTGAGCAGGGACTACTCTCCATTTGCCGCGTGAGGGCTTCTCATTGCGGTAGCCTCTCTTGTTGGGAATCATGGGCTCAGTTGTGTATGGGCTTAGTTGCTCCATAGCATGTGGAATCTTCCCGGACCAGGGATCCAACCCATGTTCCCTGCATTGGCAGGCAGATTCTTAACCACTGGACCACAAGGGAAGTCCCAACAACTTCACTTTCTGTCCTTTGAAATAGGAACCCAAAATCAAGAAATGTAAACTTTTTGTTTTCCCAGAAGATCTGCTCTCTTGCCATTTTGGATGATGTAGCTATTGTAGAACCAGACTCTCAAATTATTGGCTCTGGACTCCCCTAAGTTAAATGTAATTTTAGGGAGTTCCCTGGTGGTCCAGTGGTTAGGACTCCACGATTTCACTGCCACGGGTGCAGGTTCAAACCTTGGTCAGAGAACTAAGATTTTGTAAGCCATGTGGCCAAAAAAAAAAAAAGTGATTTAAAAAAATTATGAAAGTGTTTGTCTATAGACATTATTAGCAATTTTTCCCCCAAAATATTCCATTTTTTTTTAAATTGAAGAATAGTTGGTTAGCTGCTTTTATTTTTGTTCTTCAAATTGAATGTTGTGAGACAAGGGGATGATAATTAAACAAACATGGACGCAATATCAAACATGAAGTGCCCTCAATTCCTGAGGCACATTTTAAGTCTCAAAAAAAGAGTGGACATCCAAGAAAAACCTGGGTTGCTGGGTGGTGTTACGGTGTGTTTGATACTACTGAGTAACCACATGAGAACAAAAATGTGAACTACTTCGCACAGACGTGGGAGTGATGACCAGTGAAACCAAAAGGAATGGACGGCATGGAAAGCAATAACTCACATCACAGCATCATGAGAGAAGAATGTGCACCAGGGTCAGTGTGATTGTGGGTTACTTAATCATGCGTGTCATTAAAAAGGTGGATACTCTGGCAGGCTTCTCAGTTCAGGTCACTGTTTTCTGTTGCCAGGTGATAAGATCGGACTGATTCTTTGTTGGTAGATCGGTTCAGCTTGGCTTACTCTGCTGGAAGGTTCCTTCCATCCATGTAGAGGAGTCATTCTTTCCCCTGTTTTTGTTGTGCTGTACCATTATGCAGGTGCCCTTTGAATAATAACTTCCTGACATGGCAGCCAATAAATCTGTCCATGCTAAACCAACTCTAGGGCACATCTGAGAGCAGGCATGGGGTACGTTTTCACAGCGATGATGGATGTTCACCATCCACTCTGCAGCGTTCACTTTGAAAGGGCAATTAGACTTTCTCTGGTAGCAACGAGTCAAATGCTTTTATGTAACCTACAGGTTACCATGGCACGAGCTGTCGCTTCCTAAAAGAACTTGTAGCGCGGGTGGCTTGGGACCAGATGACCTAGCAGGAGACCGGGTCTGGAGCCAGCCTCCACCCACCCTCGCCCCAACCACATCCCAGGAGCTGATTCCCTCTCACCGCCCAGAGGATTCTGAGGAGTGGGGAAGAGCAGAGGTCCCTCCTCCGTGTTGTCCCAGGCAAATTATTTCATCTTCCAGGGTCTGTTTTCTAATATAGCCCACCTAGGGTTATTTGGAGGGCTGAGTTTACAGAATGCAGCTTTCTGTGAGGGTTTCAGTTAGGGATGATGAAAAAAGATTCTGGGGATGGATAATGCTGCTGGTAGTGCAACAATGTGGATGTACCTAATGCCACTGGAAATGGACACTTAAAACAGGTTAATATGGAGAATTTTATATTATGTCCATTTTGCTGTTGTTGTTCGTTTAGTTGCTAAGTCGTGTCCAACTGTTTGCGACCCCATGGACTGTAGCCAGCCAGGTTCCTCTGTCCAGGGGATTTCCCAGGCCAGAATATTGGACTGGGTTGCCATTTCCTTCTCCAGGGGAGAAGGAATAACCAGTCAGTTCTCCTTTCTGGAGAGAATTAATATTACCAATATTTGCATCTCCCTGCAGGGTTATTTTGCACACGTGCTTAGTCACTCAGTCATGTCTGACTCTTTGTGACCCTGTGGACTATAGCCCACCAGATTCCTCTGTCCATGGGGATTCTCCAGGCAAGAATACTGGAGTGGGTTGCCATGCCCTACTCCAGGGGATCCTCCTAACCCAGGGATTGAACCCAGGTCTCAGGCACTGCAGTGAGATTCTTTACGTCTGAGCCACCAGGGAAGCCCCAGAATACTGAAGTGGGCAGCCCATCCCTTCCTCCAGGCGATCTTCCCGACCCAGGAATCGAACTGGGGCCTCTGCATTGCAGGCAGATTCTTTACCAGCTGAGCTACCAGGGAATCCCTATTTTGCGCATAGTCAACCACATATATGTTTTATTTATACCCTTTTTTTTAACCCAAATATTAGCAGCATATACATCTCACTAGTCTATATCTTGCCTTTTTTACTTAACAATATAATTTAAAGGTAATTATTTATCAGTCTTATTGTTCACTTTATTTAAAAGCTTCTATCTTTATCACCTCCCAGGTCCACTGGTTGGTTAGGTAACTCTCCAAATAATAAAGCATCCATGCACTACATGACATCCAACTTGTATTATTATTATTAGCCAGTAAGATGGAACTACTCTGAAATTCACAAAAAATATTGAGAACAAAGACTTTGTTTCAGAGATTGCACTGCTTCTTGAATATCTGGATATTTTAGTGAGCCAAAGAATTGTTCTTGCTCTTCTGCAAATCTTTGTTCACAGCTACAGAAATTATATGAGAGGGCTGCACACTTTATATAGTTGTCTAATCCAGCCCCTACATGTGCCAGCAGCCTTCTGGTATATGTGGTATGATCACCAATTCCCCAGAAATGAGAACCCAAGGTCACACATCTTGTGTTGACAGAGCCTAGATTGTACCTTCACATTTATTTTTAATTAATTAATTAATTTTTTAAATCTTTTGGCTATGCCACATGGCATGAAGGATCTTACTTCCCCAACCAGGGATCAAACCCAGGCCCCTTCATTGACAGCTTGAAGTCTAAACCACTGGACCATCAGGAAGATCTCTACGCCTTCACATTTAATGTGACCATGTGATGCAGCTTCTTTGATGAAGAATAATAATAGAAGGCAAAAGGGAAAGAGGGTGGCAGAGGATGAGATAGATAGCATCACTGACTCAATGGACATGAACAAACTCCAGAAGATTGTGGAATACAGGGAAGCCTAGTGTGATGCAGTCCATGGGGTTGCAAAGAATCGGACACGACTTAGCGACTGAACAACAACAAGTAAATTACAATTTAGGCTACAAAATAGTCACCAAATTTCATTACACTGCAATCCAACTTAAATCTGAATCCCTCAAATATGTGAGATTATTACTAGGTCCTCGGACTCCTCACAGTTTTACCTTTTTAGGGTCAGAATTCTCAAATCTTTTCCAACATTTTAAATTTAATCTATATCTAATAGTTAACATTATAATCATTTATTTCACAACCTGTATGAACTTAGGCCAATTACTTAATAGTTTCCTCATCTGGAAAATAAGAATAATAATAGTTGCTGTTGCATTGGTACTTTATAGGTTATAATACAAACTGATGGGTACAATATATGTAAAGTTCAAAGCATAGTGCCTGGCATACTAAGGGCTCAATAAATATTGGGCTTAATTGTTATTATTAGTATTATCCTCCTTTAAGTATTAGTCACTCAGTCATGTCTGACTCTTTGCCACCCCACGGACTGTAGCCTGCCAGGCTCCTCTGTCCATGAGATTTCCCAAGCAAGAATACTGGACTGGGTTGCCATTTCCTCCTCCAGGGGATCTTCCCAACCCAGGGATCGACCCCACGTCCCCTGCATTGCAGGCAGATTCTTTACCATTTGAGCCACCAGGGAATGGGCAAGAAACTTAACAGTGATAATAACTTGAAGTGAAGTGAAAGCCACTCAGCCGTGTCTGACCCTTTGTGACCCCATGGACTATACAGTTTATGGAATTCTCCAGGCCAGAATACTGGAGTGGGTAGCCGTTCCCTTCTCCAGGGGATCTTCCCTACCCAGGGATTAAAGCCAGGGCTCTTGCATTTCGGGTGGATTCTTTGCCAGCTGAGCCACCAGGGAAGCCCATCCTCCTTTAAGATGATGATTATGCAAACAAGCTAAAACTGTATCAGCTGCCATGGCTTTCTTAGTTTTTTCAGGACAGAGATTTCATTAATCCTGCAACATATTTCAGAATTTTAAGTGTTTCTTCAAAAGTTTAAATAGATTACCCCACACACTATATGAGAGAGGTGACGTTTGTCAATATTTGGATCTAAGGGGATTAAAGTCAGAGATAAATTTACTGGCAATGACTAAAGCTTGAGAAGATGACAACACTTTGATGCAAATAAGCTATGCGTCTGGATGTGGGGGCGAGCTTAGGACAGGAAACAGCAGCTTCCTCTCCCATCCTCGGACCCCTGCTTCCTTTCTTTCTCCTTTTCTCAGGGCGTGGCTCATCCTGGTTCTTTTTTTTTTTTTATGGTTGTACTGGGTCATTGTTGCTCCTTGTGGCCTTTCTCTAGTTGCAATGTGTGGGCTTCTCCTTGCAGTGGCTTCTCTTGTAGCAGAGCACAGACTTTAGGCACATGGACTTCACTAGTTGTGGCTCTCAGACTCGGTAGTTGTGTTTTAGTTTTATAAGACTTACATTAAATTGTTTTTATATTTAGAAAAGAAATAATTTATTAAGAAAAAAGATGAATAAAACTAATTGCTCTGAATAGTCACAAAATTTGTTTCAAATGTGGGTTAAACTATCAGTTATATTTAGATACATTTTCTATATGAATTATAACATACCATAGCTATTTAGAAGCTATGGAATGATATCCAAAGCTAATTCCTTAGTTTAAGGGGAAAAAAAATGAAGTACTCTACAGTTTATCTTAATAAGTTTATAGCTGAATATCCCAGTATCAACAATTCTAACTACAATAAGTGAAATTTCTTCCTTCTTTTGTATTTTGTTATGTGCAAATTCAAAACTTTAAAAAGCACAATCCCATGAGGTGAAAGTGAAAGTCGCTCAGTCGTGTCCGACTCTTTGTGACCCCATGGACTGTAGTCCATGGAATTCTCCAGGCCAGAATACTGGAGTGGGTAGCCTTTCCCTTCTCCAGGGGATCTTCCCAACCCAGGATCAAGCCCAGGTCTCCCTCATTACAGGTAGATTCTTTACTAGTTGAGCCACAAGGGAAGCCCAAGCATACTGGGTAGCCTATCCCTTCTCCAGAGGATCTTCCCAACCCAGGGACTGAACCAGGGTCTCCTGCATTACAGGTGGATTCTTTACCATCTGAGCTATCAGGGAAGCCCATCCCATGAGGTACTTCCTCCTAATATAGTGCTCACAAGTAAGTACATCCTAACAAATCTCTGCAGGAATCAGACATTTATTGGGCAACTTAGGAGTGAACAAAACTGCATTTTACTAAGATCAGCAGAGTCAAAGTACACGCTAATTATGTAGTGATGTGGTTCATCAAATACACAAATATTGAACATATCACCAAACATTCCAGTAATACTACAGATGTTTCTAATGAAATGAGACTTTGTTTTTCAAGCAAGATGACTAAAATAGAGCACCTCTACTTGTGGCTATTTCTTCAGGTGGATGATGCTGAAGAACCTGACAAGACAGGGGGAAATAAAGCACCCAGTAAGTTCCAGTCCGTAGGAGTGCAAGTAGAAGAAGAGAAATGGTGAGTCTACCATTCATCCTCTTTCATCTTGATGTTGGCAAGTACAAAAATACAAGTATTTTTCTCCATGATAAACCTTCAATATTCAGTGATAATTCCCATTAGCTTCTGGGAGCATTAGAGGGTAAGCCTAAGTCAGTATTAGCTGTTCCTTTCTCTGCTTTATTACTAGAGACCATTTTATTTACATTTTAGCTAGAATAGTAGTGCATGCTAAGTTGCTTCTGTCGTGCCCCACTCTTTGCAACACTATGGGCTATAGCCAGCCAGGCTCCTCTGTCCATGGGATTCTCCAGGCAAGAATACTGGAGTGGGTTGCCATGCCCTCCTCCAGGGGATCTTCCTGACCCAGGTATTGAACCTGAATCTCTTAAGTCTCCTGCACTGGAAAGTGGGTTCCTTACCACTAGTGCTACCTGGGAAGTCCCAGAATAGTAGTATTGGGGCCCAAAATAGGCCTCAATAGCATGATGATTAGTTTGAATTAAAATTACTTAAGGAACAGTCAATGCAAAGAATGATACCTTTACCCTTTCTAGAATCCCTGAAAGCAGGAAATAAATCCTCCACATGAAAGATGCCCTTCTTGTATTGGGAGCTGGAAAGATATTGTTATCACCAGAGACAGGATTCAGGGCTGAGAAGCCTGCGCGTTTGTTGTTTCTTCATTAAATCACTACCCAAGTCCAAACTCTGCTTAAATTCCTTACTAATTAAACACCCAAACCTGTTCCTTTGTCCTGTCAGTCCCTCTCAAATTTATTGCTTCTTTGTCTACAAAGTAAAAGGCTATTTGCTTTGGCCACTTCTTAGGTTCCATTTCTCTGCGACCTCTGTGCACACAAATTAAATTTTTCTTTTTCTCCTGTAAATCTGTCTCGTGTCAATGTTATGATTGGTCCAGCCTCAGGAACTCGGAGAGGAGCAAAGGGGAGCCTCTCCCCTCCCTGACAGCAGAACAAGCACATCCCGTTCACACATACGTACAAGCACTGTGTGAAGTTCTGCTGTGTTCCCAAACTACTCCTCTTCAGAAAGCTTTCCCATCTTAGAGGATAAGACGTTTTAGGAGAAGACGACTTTCTCTTTTTTTTCTTTCTTATTTATAGAACTAAATAGTGGCTCATGTTTAGCATGTGCTCAAAGAATGATGACTGAAAGAACAAATGAGGAGTAGGAAGAAGACTTCCTGTCATTACGCAGAATCACTAGTTTCTTTAGGTTGCTCTTTAAAAAAAAAAAAGCTAGATTTTTAAAAATATTTTGATTTACTTATTTATTTTTGGCTGCACTGGGTCTTCCTTGCTGCACACAGGCTGTCTCTAGCTGCGGGACGAGGGCTTCTCATTGTGGCGGCTGCTTGCTTCAGAGCACAAGTTCTGAGGCGCACAGGCTTCCGGAGGAGCTCAGCAGTTGTGGGAAACACAGGTTTAGTTGCCCTGCCACATGTGCAATCTTCCCGGACCAGGGCTAGAACCCGTGTCCCCTGCTTTGGCAAGTGGACTCTCAACCACTGGACCACCAAGAAAGTCCTTTTAGATTGCTCTTTAAAATATGCTTAAAGAGTCTTAGTATCCAGAAGTAAGAAATTTAGAGTTTGAGAAGATCACTGAATCCAGAAGCTGAAGGGAACTTCTGAGGTCAGCATCTTCATTTTATAATGAGGATTTGGTCTGGAGAGGTAGGTGAGTTTCCCAGTCAAACTGTGAGGACCATGATGGATGGGACTATGTTTACTGATAACACAGAACCCTCAGCTTCCAGACCATGCTTCTCATATACTAAGTTTACAGTAACTGCTGACTGGATGGGGTAAGAATGCAGTTATTGTAGGTGAAAGAACTCTATATCCTAAATCAGAAAATCATTTCAACTTTGTCACTAACTTTTTAAGTGTTAATTAGGAGAAATCACTTGGATGTCATTCATCCATCCACTCATCATCTATCCAATCAATAAATATCTATAGGGACTTCCCTGGCAGTCCAGTGGTTAAGACTTCAGCTTCTAAAGGAGTGGGTGTGGGTTTGATCCCTGGTCAGGGACTTAAGATCCCACATGCCTCAAGGCCAAAAAACCAAAACATAAAATGGAAGCAATATTGAAACAACTTCAATAAAGACTTTAAAAATGGTCCACATCCAAAAAAAAAAATTCTATGGAATGTCTCCTATATGCAAGGCCCCATGTAACATAAACTTAAATCTGAGAATAAGCCATGTTTCAGTTCATGGAAGGAGTCTTATTTTACAGTCTCTTAGTTTGACACTACCCTTGCATCTAAAAGATTTTCCATATATGTACATATAACCTTTTATATTATTATATTTGATATAATTATACAATGCTGGAAGCCCAGATAATTGGTACAGTCCTTCTAGAAATTAATATGACAAAAATTGGTGATAATTATACATCTATCCAGATACATTGACCCAGTAATTCCTCTCATGAGGCTATCCTGAATGAAATCACTCAGTGAAAGGGAAACAACTGTGGAACATTATCTATTATTGTAAAAAAATATATATCTGTTATCAAATGTCAAGCAAAACAAGAATGCTTTTGTAAATTATAGCACATCGCCAAGACAGGCTATTATACAGCTATTAAATATGATTTGTAAAGAAGATATGGAAACATGGGAGAAATTCCCATGGTACAATGTTAAGTGAAAAAGAGGACATAATACCCACATATAATATTCACAAAGATGGACAAGGACTGAAATGTAATCTGTAAAAATTGTAGATTTAGGAGTGAATTTTTCCCCCTTTTACTCTAAAATGTTTAATTATTACATCTACTTCAAGTTACAGTAATCATCATTTTCAAACCAACCCTTCTGGCACATGTTCCTTTCACAGTTTTAGAAAATGTTTTGAAAAAAAGGTAATGACTTTGCTGGTGGTCTTAGTGGTTAAGACTTTGAGCTCCCAACACAGGGGACTAGATGGGAACTAGATGGCATGCCACAAGCCATGGCCAAAAAAAAAAAAAAAAAAAAAATTCAAAAGAAAATGTAAACTTAGGAGATATAAAAGATCTCATGGTAAGAAAACACATTCTCCTTCCCCCACTGGCCCAACTTGCTTGTTCTCCTCAATGATGGTTAAGGGCACAGATTCCTGGGCTAGAGCACCGAGATTCGAATCCTGGCACTACCACATACTAGCTGGGAGGCTTTGATCAAATTATTAAACTTCTTTGTGCCTTGGTTTCTTTATATGTAAAAAGAAGATAACAGGCAGTTTCTGGTCCAGTAGGTAAAGAGCTTAGAAGTCATCACTCTGTCTTAACAAGTAAAAAACTTTTCAAACTGAAAAATCAACAATTCTTCTTAAACCAGGCAGAGATGTGAAGCCACAGGGCAAATTACTGCTCTAAGAACCAAAGAGACAGACAGACACACAGAGAATCACAACTTAGTGGAGTTCAGTTCAGTCACTCAGTCGTGTCCGACTCTTTGCAACCCCATGAACGACAGCACGCCAGGCCTCCCTGTCCATCACCAGCTCCCAGAGTTTACTCAAACTCATGTCCGTTGAGTCGGTGATGCCATCCAACCATCTCATGCTCTGTCATCCCCTTCTCCTCCTGCCCTCAATCTTTCCCAGCATCGGGGTCTTTTCCAGTGAGTCAGCTCTTTGCATCAGGTGGCCGAAGTGTTGGAGTTTCAGCTTTAGCATCAGTCCTTCCAATGAATATTCAGGACTGATTTTCTTTAGGATTGAATGGCTTGATATTCTTGTAGTCCAAGGGACTCTCAAGAATCTTCTCCAACACGTTTCAAAAGCATCAACTTCTTCAGCGCTCAGCTTTCTTTATAATCCAACTCTCACATCCCTACATGACTACTGGAAAAACCATAGCCTTGACTAGAAGGACCTTTGCTGACAAAGTAATGTCTCTGCTTTTTAATATGCTATCTAGGTTGGTCATATGTTCCTTCCAAGGAGTAAGTGTCTTTTAATTTCATGGCAGAAGTCACTGCAATCACCATAGTGATTTTGGAGCCCAAAAAAGTAAAGTCAGCCACTGTTTCCACGGTTTCCCCATCTATTTGCCATGAAGTGATAGGAACGGATGCCATGCTCTTAGTTTTCTGAATGTTGAGTTTTAAGCCAACTTTTTCACTCTCCTCTTTCACTTTCATCAAGAGGCTCTTTAATTCTTCTTCAGTTTCTGCCATAAGGGTGGTGTCATCTGCATATCTGAGGTTATCGATATTTCTCCTGGCAACCTTNCATTCCAGTATGTCTGGCTCTAGGTGAGTGTTCACACCACTGTGATTACCTGGGTCATGAAGATCTTTTTTAAATAGTTCTTCTATGTTATTATTGCCACCTCTGCTTAGTATCTTCTGCTTCTGTTAGGTCCATACCATTTCTGTCTTTATTGAGTCCATCTTTGCATGATATGTTCCCTTGGTATCTCTAATTTTCTTGAAGAGATCTCTAGTCTTTCCTATTCTATTGTTTTCCTCTATTTCTTTGCATTGATCGCTGAAGAAGGCTTTCTTAGCTCTCCTTGCTATTCTTTGGAACTCTGCATTCAAATGGGTATAATCTTTCCTTTTCTCCTTTGCTTTTCGCTTCTCTTCTTCTCAGAGCTATTTGTAAGGCCTCCTCAGACACCCATTTTGCTTTTTTGCATTCCTTTTTCTTGGGGATGGTCTTAATCCCTGTCTCCTGTACAATGGCATGAACTTCCATCAATAGTTCATCGGGCACTCTGTCTATCAGATCTAGTCCCTTAAATCTATTTCTCACTTCCACTGTATAATCATAAGGGATTTGATTTAGGTCATACCTGAATGGTCTAGTGGTTTTCCCCACTTTCTTCAATTTAAGTCTGAATTTGGCAATAAGGAGTTCATGGTCTGAGCCATGTCACCTCCCGGTCTTGTTTTTGCTGGAGTAGAAACCCACAAAAGAAAGCCCCACGGGAACCAGTGCCAGGACAGGAAAACCTGAACAGTGATTTATGAACTGCTGGCA